CATGTTTTTCGTCCCCTTTTTGCTCATATCTCGGAGGCAAAATGAGCAAGAACGCTCATTTGTACATCATTCTAGAGAGAAATAAATGGCCTTTTAGAAAGTGAATCATGGATGGGGAAATGTTGGCAGTTTTCTCAAAAAATGCTTGAATTCAAGAAGTTTCAGATTTGCGTGGTTTTTTTTGAGTTGCAAAATCCAGTTGAACATGACGCTGCTTTTTTCGAAGTTTCTTAAGAACCATTCGAGCCACATAATTCGTTTTGGCATCGTTGGATAGAGAATAGTCAGGACCCTCACCTCCCTCCTGGATCCGCCCTTGTATCTATTGCTATTTAGTTAAATATTTAATAAACAAATTCAGCTAAAATTCAAATTATTCATGTATCTCTAAACCGCAATGCTATTGGTTGTGACGTCTCTGGTCATATAAATGGCGGATTGTTTACGTTCTGTGCATAGTGTTCAGTTGTGTGCTTGTGTTTCATTAATTATTTTCTGGATTTAAATAATTTATGGTTTGTGTTAAACTAAAAAATGGCTTCAGAAGGATTCCTTAAAGCGTCAACAAACAATTTACCATGTGTACATATTTTTATGGTTACCGAATTTTGAAAAAACAACGAAAGCGTCAATGAGTCAAGTGAGCCCCTATTGCTCCTTGAAAGGAATGCGGCCAATTTTGAATCATCCTCCATAAAAGTTTGCTGCGTCTTTAAAGAGTTAAAGTTTGCTGCAACGCCAGGAGGAAAATCGCGCAGTTGTTGAGACCAGACGGACACGCCGTCGAAAAAAAACCACTGTTCAAGACAATAAGAGCCCGAATAAGGTTGTCACGTAATGGTTTGGGTTCCAGGTACGTGAAATTCCTGGTGGTGCCCGTATGTCGCACGAAGCGCATCACCAAGGTGCAACTGCAACGGATGCACACCATCACTGGCATGTACGAGAACGAGGTCAAATTCAAAGCGACGGACATCGGGATGATCATGCTGTCCCTCATCCAGATCATTCTATTCTACACCAGCTTCAAAGACCAGCTGGTGTTCAAGCACGACAAGCGCCAACAAGTGTGGCGCTACGTCACCTACATGTTCACCCATAACTCGTAAGTGCAATGGTTCGCCTACGCCTACGCCTACGTCTCTACGCTCTTTTCACCCGATTTCAGACAGTTCCATTTGTTCGAAAACGTCGCCATCCAGCTGTTGGTGGGCCTCCCACTCGAGATGGTGCACAGTTGGCGGGTGCTCATCATTTACTCGGCAGGTATTCTAGGGGGCGCTCTCTTCCAATCGGTGATTTACCCTTACGAAGACCTGGCGGGGGGGAGTCCCGGCGTCTACTCGATTCTCACCGCCCACATAGCGACCGTCATCATGGTAAGCGCTGCCCCCCACCATCGGGTGTAGCTCGAACTGATTGTCCCTCATTGCAGAACTGGCGCGAAATGAGCCAACCGGTAGTCCAGTTGATCATCTTCGGCACGTTCTCGGTCTTCGACACCATCTACAACTACATCACTATCCGAAACAGCGACGAGATCAGCTACATTTCCCATCTGGGGGGCGCCGTCTGCGGCCTACTGGTAGGCGTCAACATTCTGCGCAACCTGCGGGAAACCAGCGCCGAAAAGATCATCTGGTGGATATGCATTGTGCTGTACTTTGGCATCATGGGCACTTTTATCGGTTTAGAATTGAGGCTAAACCTCTTCAAAGGCGCTCAGCCCACTCGGTGAACCATCGCTCTCAACCCGCACGTTAGCCAATTCAATCCGTAGCTTAGTCAGTGGGGAAATTGCCAGTTCGAATAGCTAAGTTTTTATATTTATTTTCTACTTTGTTCCTTACTAGTCAGACTGGATAGATCGGCACTGGGCTGACCAGTTGTAACACGTCTCAACACTGCCCGACTAGTTGCTCTATCTCCTTCCTATTTAAGAGTTTTTATACAAGTGCGACATTGTATATGAATCTAATTGTGATATTTCATTTGCAACCTTCACCTCCATGTGTAGTTTAAGCGTATTTATTTGTTTAGTGTGTAAGAGTGAGAGTAAATGCGTTAAATTCGCTCAATTTGATTTTTCCATAAGGGGCATCCGCCATAATGTCAAACAAAACCTACCTAGTTCAATGCCACGAAAACAAGTGCGTGCCAAAATCCCCATTTCCCCAACAACAATTTAACGAAAATATTGAAATCCATTAAACCGACTTAAGCATAGAGATCAATGAGTTGGGCGGCGCGTTAATGACGATATTTCGAACCGTTAGTGGCACCAGCGTGCAAAAACAAGCATTAATTGCGGCGGCGTCTTCGCGATTGGGTGAAAGTGCCTACAGCCCCGTGTGGGCAGTTTTTTGGTGCGTTCTTTGCCGATAGAGTGTGAGCGAACCCAAACACAACGGAATCAATTGGCCCGTTGACGTCCTCAACCCACATCGCATGTATTAATAATTTGAATAAAAATCTCACCCAGTTGCCTATTAATAAAACCGAAAGTGTTTGAATAGCGCACGATTGCTCCGTCTCTCGATGTCGACCTGTTAAGCGGCTAAGAGATTTTTGAATCTTCGACAAAAAACCCAAGGATCGATAACGCAATTGGAATGTGCGTCATGGGAAATTGGTTGCTGGGCTCGCTAGCTGGTACCCATTAGCAGTGATTAGTGAGAACAACGGAACCATGGAGGAGGTTGCCGATGTGCACAGTGCGAAAATCGGACACGAACACCAACAGAACAGCACGCAGCCGTCGGCCCAACTGACCTCCAAGGAGAAAAACTACTTCAGAAGCATATTCGAAAAGGTAACAATATGAAAAAAATCAGTTAGTGACGTTTAGGTTGAGGCACTCAAGGATGACTTTTCCCTCTTAACGGTTTTCTTTGACAACTACCTCACTTTGACATTTCACGCGTCAAATCAGGAAGTAAAGGATCAAATCAGACGTTGCTATGCAACAAGTCCTGACAGGCTGACAGGAACATTCTCTCAATTGACTGGGGCGCGTAGCTGACAGGTTTGAAAACATTGTAATTCCCAAAACACTTCAACGCAAAAGGCGCGTCATCGACAAGACGCTCATTGACACGAGATAAGATAACTTGATTGACTTACTCTGATTCATCCGTATCAGTTGGCTTGGATAGTTTGGGTGCTGAGGTGCGTCGGTTCCAAAACGGTGAAAATATGGCAACAGCAAAACGAAACCGAAATGACCAAATATACTATCGCAGCATCTTCAATAAGGTACAGTTTGACAACCTTCACACTCACGTTCATCTGGTTCATCATCGTCGTAGATCCGTGCGAATACCCTTCGTGCATTAGCGCTCTGAAAAGTACCACAGATAAGTACCCAACAGCGAAATAAACACACTTTAACGCCAACTACTGTACAACAATTGAGTCAGATCTATTTACTGAATAAATTGTTGACATTTTCAAGTTTCTCCACATAATTTAAACGGAATATTTGCGCAAAACAAAAAATTGGTCTAGAAACTTCTATAAAACAAACATAAATAATTTGAAATCACCGGGGCGAACGCTCCAGCTGGCAACCACGCAATACGAAAGACACTCTGTGACATGAGCAAATGTCAACATGACAGCTGAAATCAAAACGTCATTACGTCCGTGTCAAACCGTTACCGCCGAAATGAGAAGGCCACAATGACGTCACGAAGGCCGATTCCGACTGCAAGTAGGTCGAACAGAGTCAAGAAGACGCTAATTTATACAACACCTGCTTGCATTTTAGTGGTGGTTTATTAGGCTTGTAAGGCGAAAAAACCGGCGAAATCCAAAGTTGCAACCAGGTTCGATTCCAACCATTTTCCCCAATTGTCCTTCTTACATGTCAAAATATAACTCAATAAGTAGACAAAGTAGAGATAGAAAAAATGAATTTCTCGAACAGGAACATTTACGAAAGGCTCTCGCAGAAAGTAAAAACAGTTTCCTCGCGTATAAAAAGTCAGTAACGTTTGAAGATTTTGAACAATTTATGTATATTTTCAACTCTTGGTCTCTCCCTGATGAGTGGCATAAAACAATGACTAAACAAAATCAACTAATTCTATTTAAAATTGAGAATTCTCCTGGACCGGTTATCACATACTCAGTTACGATAAATTCAAATTTAAAATTAGAAACTTACTCATTTAAACAGGAAATTTTTTTGCAGGTTGACAAATTTGAATCTCTATTTGTTTTGAACGACATCAACATTTTATCTAGCTTATTAGAAGAAATTAATAATATAACAGTTAACAAAAGTGACGAGTCAACTATTAAACAAAACCAAACGTACCAATGCAGCATAAATCACATTTGTAACATTTAAAAAAAATTGAATTGTGAAGAAAATAATGACCTGTTAGTTTTTGTTTCTCAACAGCTAATTATGTCTACACAATCCAAAGTAAGATATCGATATTCACCCGACACTATAATTCTATGTTCGATATTAAATACAATAAGTTCACACAGC